GCTTTGTTTGAAATTTTTGTCTGATCGATAGAACCTACTCTAATAAGGCCCTCAGTCCCTGAGACTATATGTTCCTGAGGCTTGTTGATCTGCCACTGCTTTCTGTGCATGTTGATCAAGTAATCTGAGCATGACAACCATTGCATCTACTGGTCATGCTATACACCTAAAGATCCAACTGCTCGTTCCCGAAATTAGCGTTCAAACTCCAATTGTTCTCTCTCATAGCATCTTGAGTTTGAGGGCGAGTGTGAAAGGAAAATATATATTGTATATCCGGTTAATGTAGAAGGTATATATTATAATTATATATTTGGGAATGATAGATATAATATCTTATATTTATAGTAAGTCTAAGTATAGTTTATGTGTCTATGATTTAGTTTATATTATTGTCATCTATAATTTGTCTATAAAAGATAAGTCTGTATATTCATATCAATTAATGGACACTGTGTCTCTTTAGAGAAACCTGAGACTCTTCACAGTGCCAACATAACATTGCACTACTACAAGATTAATTAAAAACAAACATATATTATAATATAGCAATATCATAATAAAGAACCTTCGATTTATAATTTTTACGCATTCCAATACACATGTCCCGTTAAACTCTATAATGAAATAATATCTCCATTTTAAATAAATTATATATTCATATTAATTTCTTTAAAATGAATTTTACACAAGTTAAGTAGGTATCACAACATAGTGGCACCACAAAAATGATGTTTTGCATTGGTCAGAGCAGTGATTTATTTAAGATTAATACTTCTTTAAAAATAATAACTCAAGTTGCGCGAGTAATACAACGTAGTGCCACTATAAAAATGACATGTTGAATTGTTCTAAGTAGTAGTTTATTTAATATTAATATTAATTGAATTTAAACTTTGAATTTTAATCAATTAATTATTCCTTTATCATCATAACATGAACTTATCAGTCAAATTCTAAAGTTACTATATTACCTTTGTTCTGGCTCAATTCAAGCTGCATAAGTTGTTCTTATACGTTCCTATAGCAAAAAATTTCAATATTACCTTTCTCTAAGTATCTTTAGAGCCACTTATGGTTGACACCTAAACTCATCATACAAATTGAGCTGGCAACACTATAAATTAGCACCACAAACATAACGCATTGCACTACTACTCTAAGCAGTATTTACTTAAAATTAATATACAAAACTATAGTTTGTTAAAAAGAAAGAATTTATATAAAGTTGTAACTTTACAATATAGAATTAAGTGCACCTAAAAAAACCCATCATAAAAGATAAGTTTGAAGTTCGAAAACCCTCTAATTATCTTCATGAGATGTATGAATATGAAAGAAAAAAAAGATTTTGAGTCCCAAAAATTGTGTATTTTACAACACATTATTTGGACCGTCCATTTTCAATATTTTCATGTGATCATAAGTCTACTTGATTTGAACCATTTTTTAGCCTAAAATTTATAATTAGAGAATAAAATAGATTCTCATGATATCTTATGAAGTTTTTATGCTGAAATTATATCTTATAATAAAATTTGATGGTTTTCCTTATTTTGATGGTTTAAAGTTGCAACTTTATGTAAACTACATCTTTATAATAAAACCTTCTAATTTATTTTCAAATAATTCAAAATCACGTGCAGAGCACATGGATTTAAGTGATTAATAATCCAGTTTAAGATTTGGAAACAATTAGGCATTAATGTACATGTGGTACATATTTTATCATCCACATGTGAATGCATGCAACAGTGACCCCACAATGGATCAAAACAAAAAAATAGTGGCGACTATAATGGCAGGTGAGCACAATTCTTGCATATGCTATGTTCCCACGGGAGTTTAGTGTACATTTGCTCTATCAAGTGAGAGAAAGAGCCATTTGAGAGGATTTCTTTTATCTGAAAGTTTAGGCTCCACCTAATAATCATAGCGACAATATTAAAATTTAAATTTTGAGTTCTTCGACACTCACTTTCCATAAATGGGTCTGTCTTCAATTTTGGACATCATTTTTTTTCAGGCACATAGATTTCAACATTTTTTTTAGATCAATAGCTAGGTAGAAGAAGTGCCATGAAGTTTGGAAAACTTTCTCTTGGATTTTGAGCCCTTTCACTCCAATTACCCTATTTCACATCCAATTAACGGTTGATTTTAACTATCTTATACCAAAAATAAATGGTCTGTTTTATTTTAATTTAAAATAATTCTTAAATCTTTGGCTCAATTGGAGAATCGCATGTGTCGGATCAGGGTGGACCAAAAAAATCTAAAATCACTTGAGTTTCCGCTTTCTTAATACTATTTGAAGATTCCATGTCAAAAAGTTCCCTGGACTGAAGGCCTCAAGATTGTGACTCAATCAGTCCCTAGTCCCTAACTGAAACCGATTTTTTAATCATTGATTTATATAATAAAAAATACCTTGGAAATTGTATCACAAGATCCAAACCTGTAAGCCACCTGCCCTAGAGATGGATTAACTCATTTCATAAGCAGTTCATTAGGGAAGCAGTCTCCGACTTATAGTAAAAATGAAACTCGACATCACATTGTGGAACCCTACCATCCTGACCATCAATCTTGGAGCACATAACTGGAGATGGATTAACTCACATTTGACAAAAGTCCCATGAGAGTTTTGTTGGCATCTTTCAAATCTATGTCATCCATTCAAATGGAAAGTATGATTATGATCATCATATATATAAACCTCACTTTTACATGCCAAATCGCATTTGGAAATATAATATGCATGATGGATTAGATTTAATCATGGCTTACTGGACAACCATAATTACGTGCTATTTTTTATTTTTACAATATGTTTTGCTTGATAATTTGGGCATCTACTCGTCTCACCTCTCCTAAAAAAAATTATTTGTCAAAAATAAATTAACTAAAATACCCTAGATTCACTTTAAGTTCGTCATTGTAATACACACAAAGTCTTAGGGTAAGCTGAGGTGAAAAAAATTTAGGATTCACTTGCATAATGAAGCAAAACCAAGCGTGCACATGCACATACACACACATATGCATATATATAAATAGAAAAAATATAGAATTGACTAGAAAAAGAGACTATAAAGTTCACTTTCACAATAAAGCAAAAGTCCGAGTACATACACACACATATACACAGAGAGAGTAGAATTCACTTGCACAATGAAGCTAAAATGATGCGAGTAGGCTTCCCGGGCCTCCGAGCATGCTGAACAGCAAGGTTGTCAACAAGCAAGATATCACCTTTTTCCCATCTAATATTCACATTGTTCTCATCCCTGATCTTCCCGTAGTTTTTTATGGCTTCATCAGGAAATGGAACTCCATCTCCAAAGCCTAAACTCATGTCATCAAGCTTGCCAGTGTAGCCTACAATGGTGGAGAACCAAACCCTGCGCCCCCCTTGAAAAGTCCGTATTGGGTTCAAGGGTCCATAGATAAATTCAGCTCTCCCATCCTCAAGAAATTCAACTGAGTTGCAACCTAACTTCGGCAGAGCCCTGCGTTGGATAATAAAGAGCTCGTTGGTAAAGGTTTGAATTTTTTAGATAAAGAGCCCAGGCTTAATTGATTGGCGCTTGATGATTTGCAACTCTACGTCCTAAGTTCAATTCCTACCGAAGATAGAGACCTTCTCACCCAAAAAAAAAAGGGTTTGAATTTCTTAGATCCAAATAAAACCACTAATTTACTTAAAGAACAATGTTAAAATAGAAAAGCAAAAAGAGGAAGCCCAGAAAGGCTTTGAAATTCATAATGTGTTTGGTTTGGAGTTGTATGATTCCCATTCTAGGAGCTTATGCAGGACCAGATTGGGACTTGGGAGCTATATGATTCTTGGATGAAAAACCGAGGAATCATCACGTCTCTTTTTTTACTTTTGGGATTGTATACAATGAGACAATTTACTTTTGGTACATGCAAGTCACAATTACTTACAACCATCGGACGTGAAATCTGATGGCTTAAGTGTGTCACAAAGTTCGAAAAAAATTCTTTTGAACTTTGAGTTTGGTCGATAAAATATGCAAACATATCCACCGGTCAAAAATAATTATTTTCACCTTGCGCCAAAGGTAAATAGATTTATTACATACTTTCTCTTTACTTTTTTTTCTTCGTATTCAATTTTTCTATATCTATTCGTATTCATGTGGTGTCGAAGTCGTAATACATAAGTACTCCCTTGGGCAAAATAGCTACTTACAAGGACTTTTCCGACTTGAAATTTGGGATCCAATTTAGAATTACGAAGTGATTACGTAACAAAGAGAATAGCAAAAGAGATTGTGTTCCTATACACTTTGATTTGATCGCTCAAAAAATGGGCAATCTATATTCAACCCTAGGGTGGCAACAAGCCGGGCCTAAGCCCGCCAGCCTTGGCTGTTGTCCCGAACGGACCGGTTGAGCTAAAAACATATGAAGAAAAACACAAAACAAAAAAAAAAAAAAAAGGAAAATGAAAAATGAAAACGAATAGGGTCACTCTGCCGAGCATTGGTTACGAAATGAAGTCGTGACTGTCAAATCGGCCCATATTCAATCTGGACCGTTGGGCTCATATGTTTATATAAGTTAATGGGCTAATCTCAGCATTTTCAAATATATATATATATATATATATATATATATATGGCAGTGATTTCATGCAACAGTTGCATAGGAATATAATGCAACAATCTTTAAAAATTATGTTAGGGCCATTTGTTTGATTCAAAATTTGAAATATACACTCTTTTCATTCTAATGAACAATCACAAAAGAAAAAAGAAATTGAAAATGAAAACTAGAAAGTATTGTTTTAGCTCAATTAACATAGGGCGTCCATTTTGATAAGATTGTGTTAGGTTTAGGCCTTAGAAGGAATTTTTTCTTTTCCAATTTTTTAAATGACTTTATTATCATTAGATGAACAAGGTTAAAAAATGAATTATCATTAGATGAACAATGTTAAAAAAGGAAAATGTGATTTTGAGTTTTTAAAAGCTAAAATCTTGAAACTCCCCAAATGAATGGTCTAGATTCGTTGTTGAAGGGGACTCATTTTGACTATATCTAGGGTCCAAATCCAACTTTTTTCTTAAGGATTGATTATTGAGATGAAGAGATTGTGTGTGAAAAATTTTGGGTTATACAAATACCACAAACATGGGTTTTAGAAATGTGATTGCATTATACTATAATACAACCGTTGCATGAGATCACTCTCATGGACTGATGGAATGGTGTCACACCATGTAAACCGTTGCATATAAAAGACCCTTTCTTTTAAGGGAAAAGTTTATAATGCAACAATATTCAAAAACTACATTAGGGTCATTTGTTTGATTCAAATTTTGAAATATACAATCTTTTTATTCTAATGAACAATTACAAAAGAAAAAAAGAAATTGAAAATGAAAACTAGAAAGTATTGTTTTAGCTCAATTAACATAGGCCGTCCATTTTGATAAGATTGTGTTAGACTTAAGCCTTAAAAAGAATTTTTTCTTTTCCAAATTTTTTAAATACCTTTATTATCATTAGATGAACATTGATAAAAAGGAAAAATGTGATTTTGAGTTTTTAAAAGCCAAAATCTTGAAATTCCCCAAATGAATAGTCTAGATTCGTTGTTGAAAGGGACTCACTTTGACTATATCTAGGGTCCAAGTCCAACTTTTTTTTCTTAGGGATTGATTATTGAGATGAAGAGATTGTACGTGCAAAATTTTGGGTCATACAAATACCACAAACATGGGTTTCTAGAAATGTGGTTGTAGTATACTATAATACAATCGTTGCATGAGATCACTCTCATGGACTGATGGAATGGTGTCACACCATCTAAACCGTTGCATATAAAAGACATTTTCTTTTAAGGGAAACGTTTATATAGAACCGAGGCTGTAAACAATCAAATTTGAGGCTACCTCAAAAATTTCACTAGAAGAGGTTGTTTTGATGCCCAAATATCCTCAAATTGATCATCTCGACATCAATATGCATGAACATGAGAAAAAAAAATAGATTTTAAGTTTTGGAAATAGTGTATTTTGTAATGCATTTTTGGACCGTCAATTTTCAAGATTTTCAAGTTTTCATAGTTCTATCGATCTACACTATTTTTGAAGCTTTAAACTTTATAAATAAAAATGAAAATATATTTTAAGGCTATCACAAATATTTTCAGTATTGAAACTACGTTTCATAACACTATTTGAAGGTGGGCTCTAATTTGATTGTTTAGAGCCTAGGCTATATACAAA